AGATATGCTGAGTAGTGGCATGTGCCGCGAACAGGTATAGTCATTCTTTGCGTCGTCCTGCCATTCAACCCTTATTATGTGTCAAAGCCAACGCTGCTCTTCGCAGTTCTTGCTCCACAACAAAACTGACCTGACCGACGCACTAACCGGGCTGATTTTTGTGGAAAGGGTTTTCCTGTTAAGCCATAGTGTTTAGAGATTCATCCCATCGTTGGACGCTACACCCGTAAAGTCGAGGCAGCTGGCAAACCAAAGCAACTGGGATCGTAGATTGCTCAGAGATCTTACAAAGAGTGGAAATTTGGTCAGGGCATTAGAACGCTGCTCAGAAGCCTGCTTGATAGGGGTTCAGATTTCTAACAGCTGCCTTCTTTAGCTTTTCACTTTTATCTAGGAGAGTTGTTTGTGAGGAATTGTTCTGTTCCATATGTTCGCCGGTTGTTTGAAGTTGTAGGCATGTTTCGTTTACACAAAACAGTCCTAAACTGCTTTCTTGATTTCACTTACTGTTACCTTCCACATATAAGCTCTGTCAACTCGTACCACCCTCTAATAAAGCTGTTTTGTCTACTTTATGTATTAGTTTGCCTGGTTGACATATATAAACAAGTCATTCATTCTCCTCCAGACGAAGCCGTGAACCTGATATTAATCGATTCTCTTCGTTTAACGGTGGGAGAGACATGAATGACAAGATATGACCTATTTTACAGGCCTACTTTTACGTATTCTGGGTGCTAAACAGAATTTATACGATTTCAATAAGGATTCACCTTTTGAATATGTATTGCTTTGGAAGTGACACAAGCTTCACGTTTAGAGCTATTTGTAGTGAAAAGTTGGAAGTTTTAAATAACATTGGCTGACATGCGAAGGTATCAGTGAAATCTTTGTAAACTTTAAACTAGGGTCTCTTTCCCTTTGGCATTTCTTTTCGAGGACATCATTTACTGTCAGGAGAAAAGAAGGTCTTTTTCGCAAATGGGAGATGAAACTTCAAGCTTAACAATGTTTCTCGCAATTTTACATTATCGTCGTTCCTCTGAAGAGAAGAATGCGTTTGTCGTAATACCTATGCACTGGCTTGCAACTTCTAGAGGATATAGTGATCGCTGGCACAAGTATGGTATAACCGGTCTTATTCATGAACTACCTAAGTCTGCAGTTCATTCAGCTATTTCGCAGAGCACCTGCATACGACAGAACATGTTTTTTTTGTAATACTCATCCACTGCATGACGATCTTTCATAATGTTGGTCGTGAATATCATTCACCAACGTATTTACTCAAATTGAGTTGTACCGAAAATGCATAATCTGGACCTCAGCATGAGTTCTTTAAAGTACCCGTGAAAAGCTGAGCAACATTGTCTAAACTTTCTCAGTATGACATCTTTTCCTTTTGGGGGCATGCGATCTTGCCTTTAGAGGACCTAGTTTCGTGAAATGTTGTTCATCGCCTCGCAACCATTATCTCTCAGCATGCATGGTTGATTCTATAGCCATCAACCTGCAGGTACGCCCTTAGCTGTGCATCGATGCTAATAGCCTCGTCAAATGATTCCTGTCGTTTCTGCTTAACGAAGAAGAGACAGCTAGAGAATTTGCCTAATACGAGCACTTCTCTTACGGTTTTGTCGAGGGATAGGCAAGCGTAGGCGACTGATGCCCCTACTTCCATCCAGTGATCGACAGGCTTTCATCGTCGGTTCTCCTTTTTCGCCTGTTGGAACCCCTTTTGCACAGCGATTCCGAACGGGGTTGCAGTTCACGAACTGCATATCAGGGACAGTGATAGTCCGCAGTTTGTCCGTGTCGGTTCAGCCGTTGATGGAGGTTACCTCATCGAAATTGGTCATCTATCTTTTAAACTGTTCGTGGCCGTTAAACACGGCTGCATTTTCTCTGCGGCGACTGCCACACTTCGCTGCTTCTCTAACTGCCATATCGGGTTTAACGTGACATTGACGATTATTTCCACTTTTGTAGTGCTTTCTTAAGTGATTTATTTATTCTGTGATTCTTGTTTTACGCCACCTCCAAGTGTAATTATGCTTTTCACGAATTGCAAAATATGCACTGTTTTTAGTTGTCGATTTTTTCATTTTGCCCAAGAAAAGATATTCTTTGACGATTTCTTTGATGCGGTAAACTTTCATTTATTAGTTAGCATTGTGTTAGTAGGTGAGTGTCGTTTCTGCAAATTTAAATTTTTTGGCAATTCCCAACATGCACAACAATGTGGCTATTCGTTATAGCGATTACGCAAGGAAACGAAAGCGAGAGTTCTCTTTCTCGGTGAAAAAAGGTATGTTTTATTTTATTTTGCCGATTTTGAGACGAAGATCGGTTCAAATGCCTGTCAGTAATTAAATTATATTAAATTACTAATACTTTCATATCGAAAGACATTCAAATAGGCAGCTAAAAGCCATACAAAGCTGAGTAGGTACGATTGGACCTATGGCCCTGTTCCGCCAATATTTCATGGCCCATGCCCGAGAATGATTCGATCTCTAATCTGGTCGATTGTTACTTATGGATGCGAAAGTCGAACCACCGGAGATGCAGAGCGCATATCGACTGGATCGTGCGACACCTGATGTGGCTGTCATGAATTTGGGGTTTCTCTAAAAATGCTTAAATTTTATATATGAGCACTTAGCCGTCATTGCTTCAAAATATGCAGCAATCTGTGAAAAAAACGGAGATTACTTATAAATACT